ATCCTAAATTCTGTACGAGTCGGCAGGAATTGATTATAACTTAAGACACATCTTTCATTCTTCATAGTTTCAATAAGTAAATTCCATTGGGTGCAATCAGAAATTCAGTTCCATTCCATCAAATATTCTGTGCGAATTTTTGAAGTTTTCACGTGACATTGTGTTAATGCTATTTGTCTCGTACTTGAGACAGTTCTGATGATTTTTCCGTCGTCGTCCGGGGATAGTATATTTTACGAGAGAGAATGGTCTCTTTACTATTACTACAAATACTACTTTATTTTGTACTAAAAAACACATCGTTCATAATCATATTATATGGAAACTGATGTTTTATTGATGAAAACCATAATTTAAAATGACAAATAATTTCCTGGTCTACAATTTTCAATGATTTGAAAGCGTAATATTTGTATATAATTAGATTTAGGTAAATCAATTCAACAAACATAAGTTTCGTATAAACTTTAAAAATCAATGTTAATATTTTTAACTTATTATTAAGTTAATTTTAGTTTGTTTATAAGTGAACAACAGATGTATGGAATATATATTATATGATGATTTAGATATTCAGGGTAATTTGTTTCATGGACCATTACAATTTTAGAAATGTTTAAGCAATGATAATATTATATAAACAATTTGTTTTTCTTATAATAGTTCATATTTATCTAACATATATTTTGCATGTATCCAATATTATTTACTGTATATTTTATAGACATACCTTTAATAGGTGTGATCTTTAAATGTGTAAACCTTTTTATTTAATATTTGTATGTCATAAAGAAATAAATATTGGATTTATATTTTTAAGTTCTTATTTAATTTAGAATAGAGGTAGGTAATTGAAATATATTTCAGCAGTTTAGTTTAAGAATAAATAATAATTGTGCAATAAATACTAGGTATACAATAAATCTACTAAAAATATAATTTTAAATTTAACACAATGGTTAGGGTGAACTTTAATATAATGAAAACTACGTGTTAACCATGTCTAAAATATTTATCATATGATTATAAATTATATGCAATTTTCAACGAATATATAGCATGCATAGTTGAGTGAGTTGTTTAATTTCAAAGTGAAAAAACGAATAATTATTAATAAACTTCCCAATCAGTGATAATAATATAGGCACCATTATAATTAAAAAGGTCTTATATTAATACCATTAACTATTTCGTTTTTAAAACAATTTTATAATGTTTAATGTTCGTGACGCGTAAACTTTCCAGTCGCAAGGGAGAAGATATTACATTTTGGTGTTTTTTCCGTATACTAGTCACCATGAAGGACATTACGTTCATTAATTATAATATAGTTCAAACGAAAAAGTATAGTTTTAATTAATTTGTATAAAATGCTGTATTATTATAGACATGCATGTATTTTTTACAATTTATCTTCAGAATATAATAACTATTTATAATATAATATAATTTTAAATGCATAATGTTAATTGTATTACTTTTTTTTAGGTTTTTTCATTTGTGGATACTTAGGCTGATCCATTATTTTTGTCTCTATATTACGATTATATTCACCTTTTTTTATTTTGAAAAATAATGTAATGTATTTTAACTGGTACTAAATTGCTGGTTATTATTTAAATTGAATTAAATCAAATCGTAAACTTCCTATTGTAAAATATCAGGGTTGAAAATGAATGAAAGTTATATTTAAATTGGTTAATAATCAATTTTGTTCACATTAATATGTATTTTAAAATAACAGGTAAAAAGTATATGATATATTTCACCCTAAAAATTTAAAGTAAGAAGAACATTTTCTGGGGTTAAACATAAGTAATCATTGCATAAACGCAAATATAACAATGACGATAGTCGATAATTATGTGCTTATATGATCTGATGAAAATTGCATCGAAGATAATATTTTCATTCATATGTAGCAGTTCAAAGTACGATTTAAGATATTATATTTAGATATTCGTCATACATGTACTGAAACTAAATTCTGGAACACACCAAAATACTAATCGATATAAACAGACTGAAATAGAACAACTAGGTAAATAAAGCATAATATCATTTATCGTATTATTCGCATTTTAACAGAAGTTATATTTTTACTTATGCTTTATTTAGTTAAACTCGAATAAATTCAAATATAAAATTATATGAAAACGAATTATGTTTTGATGAAACATACGATCTTTATACCATCGAAATAAATGAATTCTTACACAAATTCAATCGATTAATATGTTAAAATGTATTACGGTAGAATCAAAATACTTATTAAGTACAGTGACACTTCTAATTCACACTTCCCAATAGCGAACGTTTTCTTAGAAACCAACTACAATATTTCTACAATCAAAACTCTCTGAATAGTGGACGCAATTTTAGTGACCGAAGGTGTCCGTCATTTAGAAGTTTCACGCTTTCACAGTAATATTGTTTTTATACTATACTTTTACATTACTTCTACTATTATTAAAATTATTGTGAGACACATAAACACCCAATAATTTGTACATTTTATTTATTATCTTATTGATTTTCATAAAATAATACATTAACTGATTAGTTATCAAGGTTATCTTATTATTACCTTTTAATTTCGGTTAATATACGTGTTCCAAAAATGTATGAAAATGCTAACACATTTAATACATATACATACAATAACCATTAAATGTTTGTCATACCGTTAGTAGTTGGATCCACATTCACTTTATTAAATAGTAGTTTTATTTTTATTTTACAATGATGTTTGTATTTTTAATTTTTCTGACTGTCATAATACTATGGAACAGTAAAAATGCTTCAATTTTCAATATTGAGGATGGTTTCTAGTAGAAAATTGTATCTAGTATGTATTTTGGTGAGTCAAAAGTATTGCTTAGCACTTTTCAAAAAACTGGAACAACTAAAAAAACCATTAAAGAAAACTGGAATTCGAACACAAAACCATATGTACCAATAGTAAAATAAATTACTTTAGTAGCAATATAAATATGTCATTAAATATACTATATTATAAAACGTAGTAGTAATATAAGAGACTGATAGATTGCCTCTGAATCGTTTTTCGTATAAATAATGTAATTAAAATTGAAATTATGCATTGCAGTGAGTTACTTTATCACCATGTATACTCGGTACATATTCTACAGCAAAGTGGTTACCTACTTTTCTCCTTTTTATTATTAAAAATAAACAATTACAATTTATTCATAATGAGTACATTTAGCAATTTTGATTGCATGTTTATAGTGACGGGAATAATTGAATTGGGATGGCACTTAGTTGTGCCGCTAATAGTTACACTATTGTTTATCTTGGTACTCCGATGACAGTAATTATTTTTTTCTGAACTAAATTCTTACGCGCTCTTTTTAAGTGAATTAGTAATTTGCTTGGTAGAAGTGGCACATCTGGATATCTGGAGTATTTCAAACGGTGAGACATTTTTAACGATTTTGGCTGAATGCATTTTTCCTATCTAATAAACGTATGCCAATATATTCCACGACCCATAAAAGGTTTTTATACAAATAACTAAAAGTTGATAGTATATTACCTGGATTTGCCACCAAATCGAATATTTCAACAATAGTAATAGTTATGAATATTATGCAATTGTTCTCAACATAATTGTAAATTAGACGATTTCATCTTTTAAAATTTTAAAATTATCAAATTGAAAGTATTCCGGAACTGATCCATATAATGTACGATTTACTGAGTATCATCGAACATGATATTTTAGTAGCCCACATTGATAGGTAACATATAAACATAAAAAATAAAAGCAAAATAGAAACCAAATACTTGGAAGCCGTAAACTTTTTTGGTTTACAATATTGTAATAAAGTTATTAAATGGATATATCACACTTAGTTCTAATTGAGAAATACTCTTTTATTTGTAAGAACCATCAAGAAATCTTTAAATCTGGCTAAACCCCCTATTTTTCACTCTTCTCTAAATATTCCCACAGGAGTGAATAAAAAGTTTTTATGTTTAAGTTTATATATTTAAGTCTAAATTAAATTGTCACTCTTCTGCCAGCCACAGTGCAATATTTTTTTAAACTTAATAATACCTACCTACCATCATATAACAAGTTATTTTAAATAAACAATATTAATGTGGGATTGAGGAGTTATATTATGAAGAAAATATAAGTCCTACAGATTTATATTTATTTATTTCTCTAATCAAATTTCAATTTATTTTTAATGACATTGTAATGACCGTTGGTCCACGGTCATCATCTATTTAATATTAAAAATAATTTATCAAACTAAAAAAATAATTATTTGGCTGTCCGGGTTATGCCATTGATGTGTAATGTAAATACGCTGACACTTTAAATAACACAATCTGGTAACTCTAACAGACATCCTATCAAGCAGTTGTTGATCTTCGTCCAGCCATATCGGCGTTATCATAGAAATATTATGTCTGCCGCTGGCCCGTATAATAATAGGTATGTATAGTCCGTGTATTTTTTTAAGGATTTCAATTTTTTTTCTGACATTCCTCTCACGTCTCTTCAACAAGTCAGCTCGGTGGAACCACTACCACACCGTTTGTTGTTTATACCCAGAGGTAATATATATCCATCTTGGCCAGAGAGTTTTCGGTGTAAGGCAGTGCGCGATCGGGTTGCTGACTTGTCAGCGTGGCAGCGTTTGAGTGGGGGGGTTAGGGTACGAGTTGGAAGAGTGTGACAAATGGCCGAGTGGGGGTCAGAGGAGGCGGCGAGCGATTGTTCTTTTGACGCCTCTAATGGACGTAATTTTTTCGTATAACCCGGCTCTCACCCCCTAGAGATGAGCCATCTCCCGACCGCCCCCCTCCCCCACCCGTCTTCTCACCAGCCAGCGAGATGCAAGTCGCGACGAGTCGACTGTTCAACCAGCCTGCTACCGCCTCCACCACCACCACCTCTCAAAGGGACTCGGCTGCGGTAGCGGTGGCAGCAGCGGCGGCGTTGAACGTTTTGCGCACGGCAGTCGGACGACAATGTTTCGCCCCGTCGGTAGTGTACTCCCGTCGATCGAGACCGAAGAGAATTCGAATACGAATGCGAATACGGTGGTGGCGCAGCGGTTGCAGTCCATGTCAAGCGGTGTTGTTCGCGTCGTGTCGGCCGATACGGTTTTCGAGTAGTGTGACATAACCGCCGTGCGTTGGCCCCCTCACCCATCCAACCGAAAACAATTTAAAAAAATAATAACCGTTGTTCTTTTTTTTATAACTATCGTCGTCATCAATTTTTTTTCGTCTCGTGCCGCATATTATCGTGATAATAATAATAATAATAATTGATAACATAACTGCTGCCCGTCTGTACACAACGAATTTCGTCCGCGTGTCCGATGGCGGCCTTGTTCCGGTCATCGTCTTCACCTTACGCAATATTTGTTTACCTGTTACTCATCCGTAAGTGGTTGCATACTTATAACGTACAAAAAAATAGCAGAGATTCTCTTTTATGCAGTTCAAATTAGTGTTATTATTTTAAGGATAATATCTATTGATAAAATATGCTTTTTAATACAAGCTGCAGAACCTAAAGGTGGTCCATTTCACCTCCTAGACCCATATTAGAGTGTATTATTATCACATGATAAATATTTTATTCAGTATTGTAACAATATTATTTCAGTACCTACAAAACAAAAATATTTATTTAGAACGTTATGAAATTATTACTTATGACACGGTGCACTAGGTACCTAAAATATCCATTATTGTGTGACTAATACGAGTAAATTAAATAACAAACCATGTATACCATATATTATTATTTATAATAGAAGATGTAATAACATAAATATTATTTTATAACAGTTAACACTATAGGTTCATCAGGTATAAAATATATAGATAACATTATACAGATATTAAACGAGCTGACAAAATATTATTTTCCCACATATATTATCCATGTATAGATAGTTTATGTATTTATTAACTATTTTAAATATAATATATAATATATGATTTATTTATTTTTTTAATTTGGGGGGCTGGGTCCCCTGGGCCATTACCCTTAATAGATATGGCTCTAAGAATTGTGAAGACAACAGAGAAAGAGAAACAAGTGCATGTCATGCTTAAAATGCATTTGTGAAATTTTGACAGGCAACACAATTTAATCGCACAGTGCCCTAAAATTGCCACTATAAGCTGCAAATCATAAATTCATTCATTTGCAATGACTGTTCCACTTGTGTAGCAAAAGCAATTATGCGTCAAATAGTACCCTAAATTTTAAATTTACGAATTTCGTAAATTAATGCATATTGGAAATATTTTGTCAATAGCATAGAGATTGTGCACTGAGCCGCTGTTCAGTGGTTCAATAGCTAATGCGCATTCGATAGGTGTATATTGGGTATTTATGGATAGCTGAACCTTAGAATATGTAGGTAATATATAATATATTATTATAATAGGTAAATATAATGGGGAGAAGCAATGCCAACACCAGTTCCTCCCCCGGTTCACGATAACAAGGAAAAAAAAATAGGCAAATATAATGACATGTCTCCCAAACGGGCCAAACTTTACTACTATTGTTCATTAAAAATATCATCAATACTCTTTATTAAAAATAAACATAATATGTATTCGGAACGAACTAAATATTTAAGAAAAACATAAACGAATAATGAATGGGCTTTATCAATAAGCTCCAAGAACGCGTTCAGTTAAGAATGCCTAGACCAAAAATACCAAAAAATGTAACCATCAAAATTTTAATGTCAAATTGGTTTAATTGATATGTTTATTACTAATAGCTTATGACACTAAGTACAATGAATTATTGCGCTGAATGAGGTGATTTAATTATTTAAATTTTACCCAACAGTGTAAATAAAAATACAAAGATTATTATCAAAATAATAAATATACCACTGTTATGGAGTTTTATGAATATTCAATTATTAATACCTATCTACGAATTATTGTTGTTTCATCATAACTCGTAATAATATTATAATATACGATTCGTATACAATTATATACTTTATAGTTTATACTTTAAATAACAATTATAAATTAAATCAAAATAATATGAATAATATTATAGAGCGTATTAGTGTACTTATATCATTTTTCATTTATTTATTTATACGAGTTTATAACTTTATGACTGTTGTAAGGTAAATTCTAAGAATTTTAGTCCTTCAATCAAAATAAATTTAATTGAATTAATAATACATTTCATAATGCCATAATTGTTTAATAAAATTAAACGTTTTGAAAACGGATAAGAACTTGATAAGTGTGAATAAATTAAAGATATAAGTACCTACCAAAAGGGATCAATCACAATAAATGTCTATAGTTTAATATTAGAGTTTTTAATAAAATCTATTAAATCAGCTAAGTACCTTAAACATATTTTTAAACTATTTAATCTTTAAATTGATAAATAAGTAAATTGGTTTACTAGTGTAATATTTGATTTTTTGTTTTTCATTTCATGGAACGTTAGATATATTAATAGTCTGTGAGAATGCTTATATGAAAATATACCACATATAAATCTAAATCAATTTAAACTATATATAGAATGTAATAACATTATCAAATTGAACAAACACAATAAAATATAACAATATTTTCCCTAAAAAGTTTGCTTATACCTGAAAACACAACTATATATTATGTTAAATCTTATGATGGTTAGATTTTCCTAAATGAGTGATGTAATATTTTAATCGATCGTATTTTGTTGCAAGCAAAGCTGGTCCTTAATTTAATTTAAATTAAATGCATGAGTGGTTAGACAACTGTAACATTGTAAGGGTTGGAAAAAGGTTTTTTTGGAAAAGTAATTTTTTCTAAATAATAAATATTCATATTTTTTTTGAGATTATTACATTTTTTAACTGGTCCATTGGGTGGAATGAAGATGTTATTTGATCTGTACAGTTTGATCACTCTGAACCTATGAATATTACGAATTTCGTGTTATCTTAAATCTTTATAAACACCTACACAACAGTTAATTTTATAAGCCGTTTAAGTAGCCATTAGAACATCAAACACATAAAAACAACAGTGTGTGTGGGAGTGATAAACGTGGTATACAAATTAGTTTGAAAAGGTGATCGTAGATATTAATATTGCAGTTGAAGTATTATTAAAAAACACAATAATATAATAAATACGTCACGTTGATATTATATTATATTTTACGTATGTTGTATCTATAGTGTAAAATGATCAATCAAGTTGATCTAAAAACGAATTAATGTTTGAAAACTTCGAACATATCCATTATAAATGGTAATTGACACACCCAATTTGTAACAATGGATATTATAAATACATTTTGAATTTTGATCATTCTATTACTTTCATATCATATCATGTCATTTCAAATATAAATGAATTTAAACGTGTATGTTGCAGTCATATCATTCAAAATTATTATTATCCAACCGTGTTTAATTGAGTGATTTATGTGTAAATAGATTAAAGAAAAATATAATATGTAAGTCTTGACAACTCAGAAGCTATATACGTTCTTAAGTACAATATTTTTATTTTGAACAATATATTTTTAAAAAAAATGAATTTTTTGATAGTTGCATAAAACATATTCTGACGTATTGTGGCGCTTATCATGTACCATTGCGTTGACATTTTACTAACGACATGTATTCATATAGTATATACATATATATGTATATAAGAGACAAGCTCATATAATAAATCTGTCACAGTCGTCCAAAGATTTTCTTCTATTTAATAATATTAACATTGAGCATGGTAGAGATTTAAAAATTATACATTTTCGTCATTTCAAATTTGAATAAATTATCGTTTGATATGCAGATACGTTTACAAGTTTAATACACGAAAAATGTCAACAGCACAGTAGGTACCTCTGGTACCTATATGATGGTTCTGAGATTATATTTAAACAAACTTTAATTTATGTCAGAAATATATATTACGCAACCTAAACGTGTCCTAAAATATGTTTTATTTAAATATTTTAGACAGACCTTTTCACATACCTCATCTAATTTTTAATGTTTTTTTCATCCTATTAGATCCCGAGTAACCGAGATATTCATTATATTAGTTATACAACGTAGTGTTTTTTTTTATGTTTATGGAGTATGGAGATATAATTATGTGTTGTGACCTTAGTTATTAAGACCCTTGGCTCATTTTTGTATGGCCCACGGATAGCAATTATAATGAACAGTAAATTTAAAAAAAAAATGAATAAAAAAAGTGATATACAATTTTCCTTTTGTGTCACAACTATATTAGTAAGAGGTATACATATTATACATATGTTACTTAACTTTTGATAAACTGTAATTGAATAAGTATTGAATAGTATTGTAAGTAATAAATAAAGTAAAAAATGTGTGTAAAATATTTTATTTGTATGTGCTGCCTGTAAAGTAAGCTATTCAATATATTTGGCCCAGTTAATATTTTGAGTTTGACATGCCTTCCTTAGAAGAAAAGATACTTTAACAAAATATGATTATAGCGTAAATGATTTTAAACAGAACACAATCAATATTTTTGTAAGCTAAAATTTGGAATTTTTCAAAAAGCTCATACAATTCGAGAAGCAGGAATTACACAATGTGAAATCGAAAAAATAAAAAATAAATACAAATTTCAAAAAATGGGTTTTATAGCAATTTAGAAAATTTCAAAATTTCGAAATTCAGAACTATAGCTTATTATACAATTGTACTCGTAGTATATAAAGTATGAATGATTTGATATTTTATTTAAAAGCATAAGTATTATATATTCATAATATTGTATTAATGATTTCTCAATTTCTAACCATAACATTTATACATTTTTTTCAATTCCTACAAAATGTATATTCTGTAAATGGATAATTGAACCCACTGAATACGGACTATACATTTTACTAAGTAAGGTAGTTAATTTGAATTAATCAGTAGGTAGGATCTTATTTTTAAGAAACTTTTAATAGGTATCTTGTTTGAAACCAGTTTTAAGAGGATCTTGATGTATGATCTATTATCTGCATTCTTATAGTAAATATCATACCATGATGTATAGTTTATTAATTTATAGACTATTGTGTCTGCATGTTTATAAAATGAGCAATAAATAAGTACTTATATGACTTTAAAAACAACTTCAGAAAATCGTGTTTGTTTTTTTGAAATTATTCAGAGTAAATAAACGTGTGGATTTAGTTATAGTTTCCGTTTATGTCGTAATAATATAAAAAACTTTTTTAAAGAACTATAAATAATTTGTAAACACTTCCTGACTGTACTTTTATTAATTCATCACATAGTCTCAAATACCACTTAAACTGAAAAGTTGAAAAAACCGACAAACTTCAAATAAAGAACTTGATAACTTAATAACAATAATTTATTAACCAAGATATAGGTACTAACTTGATT